CTGTTCCAAAGCGTGTCAAGTAGTAGGCTGGGTAGAAGACAAGGATTAGAGAAACACAAATGATTTTAAAAGCCCTGTGAGCCTCTGATTTTTGTTCAGGTTGTTCTGTGCTTGCAGTTATTTCCATCTTGTAGTTTAATACAAGCTAGAAAATCCATACTGCTTTGTTCCTCTCTGCCTATTTCTTGTGCAAGGAATACATGTTAGTAAAGACTCTATCCCAGACCCTTCATTACTTCCAGCCTCCTGCCATACTAACATTCTCTTTTACAGAAGTTATGAGCAGTTCCACTGTCTCAAAATTATTTTAAATGTAATTTAGGCTAGAATGCTGGAGTGACAAATGCCAGTGAGTTGGGAGGGTTTGCTCACCAGAGGCTGCAATCTCTTGCGACAGCTAACTACAGCTCTAATCTTCATTTGCACTCTCCCAGTCCTGTAACAGATTGCATTTCTCTCACCCTTTCTCTCTCTCCCTGTTATTAATTCTTCACCTTTAAAAAGATTAATACCTTTCAAGAAATGGACTTGTGTGCTGATTCAACTATTCTGAGTGCTAATATATGGAGCCCACAGCACTGAGAACAGCAGTTTGATATCCACCACCTGATGGACCTTGATGTACAGCCACTGTTATCTCAGGTTTTCATGGTTTGTGAGGCTTAACACTTAATGTACTTGTGTACAAAGGTGCTGCTAGTGGGAATGAAGCAATTGCTTTAGGAGTTAAGAGAACTACAGGATAGTTTTAGATTAATTCTACCTGCTAATCATACATTTCAGCATTGAAGCTGACCTCGGTATCTGGACTTGTTGTCAACAAAAAAGCTTTCACTTGCCCTACCTGGGGATCAACACAAATATAAGGTGTGATAAAAGGGAATGGCTGAGCTAAGTGACAGAAATAGCAGGAATCACTTAAATTTGGCCTCTACCAAAACAGAAGATTATGTTGACTTCACAAGTTATCAGCTCATTTTCTCATTACATTATGCTACTGCTGATATTGAAGATGTATTTCAAGTTGCCTGCCAGTGAAGCCTTCCAAGGATGAGTTAGATAAAAACTCCATCTTTAAATGCTGACATTCAAATATCCTCTAGCAATCTAATGATCATGAAAGTAATAATTATCGTTATTAGTGATACCTGAAGTTGTATAGGAAGTTTTTTGTTTAAAAAAAAATAAAAAATTACTTGTGCTGTTATTGATCACTTTCATGCCTTGAGTGGTCTTGTGTTCTTCAAGCATATCATTTTCTAATTACGTAATTCTAGAAATTTTAAATGTTATGGTACTGAACAGTTGGCCTTTCAGGAAATGGCTTACTAGCAAAGGACAACTCCAGGAGTATTTTAAGGGAATATCAAGAGAACCTAAACTGATGCAATGTCTGAGAGATTAGCTTTTTTACTTTAGCATGTCCTATCTCAGTATCGTTCTGGGCTGTCTTTCCATGCACATTTTTCTCTCCTTTTAGTCTAACTGTTCTTCATACATCAGTTCTGAGGCCTTGTATGAATTAGGATAGAAGACTTCCAACTCTTTCCTAACAGATATGGATAGATGCGTTTGAACTAGCTGACCTTGAAATGATGAGTATATGCTGTATACTTTATAGAGTATTCTATACCACCCAGTTCATGCTTGATAAGGTTACTTGAGATTTAATCAAGTTTCTCTGAGCATATTGGACTCACTGAGTGCTGGATGATCATGGGTTATGTATTTCTGACACTGAATTGCCTCGGGTATCCCAACCAATGCTGCATTCTGAAGTATAAACATACTATGCACTTCAGGTTGCATCAGATTTATTTTAAATGTGAAGTAGCTGGTGGATGTGGTGCCCAGACAACTCTTTAGCTGTCACTTTAAAACATATATCTAAATCCTAGGCTATATATGACTGAATTTGATATAGCACTTGGTCTTAAACCACAGTTCAGTTTTAAAGTGAGCCAACAGTTGGTGTGTGGTTTTTTTTTTTTTTTTTTTTTTTTTTTTTTTTTTTTTTTTTGCATTGACAGAGGATTTCAGAATGAAGTTGGTTTGACAAATATTGTGGGCATTATTTTTTTTATAGCATGAAACCTTACCCTCTTGTCACTGAAGTTAAGGGTATCCATTGATTTGTATGTGAAGAATGGATGCAGCCCCATGGCCAACAGAGCTTTAAGACACTGCTTAGTAGAAATAAACCCTTGGACAGATGGCATTGTCCAAAATACTGTTGGCAAAAGGAACTGATTTAGAAAGCATTTCAACTTTCATTTTTTTCTTGGTGATGTAGTATGACACTTGATAAATGGGTATGCTATTACATGAGGTTTGTATGACACAAAGTTGAAATTAGCTATAGACGTTAGAAATAAACCAGTATTGATACATCTCTAGAGAGAAAATATTGTCATATTAATGGCGGGAATTTGTATGTTGCAAGTCTGTGAATATATTAATACATGTCTATAAGACCATACAGTGTGTATAATTATGCACATGTACAAGCTGTACTTCTGGTCTGTTGGGAAGATATCACCTTAAGGTCAGTAGAGGGGGTCCTTACCTTTACAAGGCACTTGTCCATGCCTGTACTTCACTATGTCTTCTAGTATCTCTTGAAAGCACTTGTCTTCAACACTCTGCTTTGCCACGCTGTCTGTGTGGTAAAGATTTCAGAAGAAATTACTGTGTGATGGTAGGAAGTTCATTCTGTTCTGTGTGGGTCCTTGTATGGAAACAGTATGAAGTTTATTTGAGACAAACAGGTCTATTTTAAAGGATATGCAAACCAGGAAAAATATTTTATGTACTCTAATGTGTATAAATACATCATCTGCAACTATTTTTGTCATCCAATTCATTAGCCACTAAGAAGAGGGACAGAGCCTCACCCACCTTTTGCTTTTTGTGTTTGGTGCACCTCTGAAGCCATCAGGCAGAAAAGGCTCTTCTTGGTCATGTCTTCGTGCAGCTGTGGGAAGCCCAAGCAGTAGGGCTGGCAATGAGGATGCCTGGCTGCCACCTTCCTGCACGCGCTCTGACCAAGTTTTCCATACTTGAGGGGCAGTGTGGCAGGCAGGACTTCTGAGAGCGCAGTAGCATAGTTAGGGCAGGTCCCTGCTCTTCTGAGACCACCTTGTAGGGTGTAACAGGATGAATGAAAGCAAGGGCAGCTGAGGATCAGGCTCTGCAGTCCCTATGAAGAATGGGAGAAACCTTGTGCCTGTCCAGAAGCCAGCTGTCCCCCATGCAGGGCATGAAGTGAGCATCCCTCAGAGTGGTTGTGCAGTGGGTCAGCACTCGATTTGCTGCCCAGGACAGCAAGGAGTGGCTTTTATCCCCCAGTCTACATGAACCTCACCATGCTGTTCCTTCCTTCTAGCCAGGAAGGGTTTATGCCCTGTCTTAACAGGAAACCATGCTGCATCCTATGGCATGGTATATTTGGAACATGAGAGTAGACTGGCTTCCAGCTACCTTCTGCTGAAGGGACAGCTTGTAGGCAAGCAGGCCAACTTCAGTCTGATGCTGAAGCTTTTTTCATGGCTGTCCAAGAACAGGAGAAAAGCCCATTGTTCAGAGATGAGACAACAGTTAAGATAAAAAGAAATTGCCACTGCTTTCTGACATTACTAAAAGAACTCTATAAGGATTGAAATAAATACATTGTTTACAATGCTGTATTTTTCCTCCTCATTTTACTATGAAGTAAGACCCTGTGATGCTTTGTTATTTAACACAGGTTTAAGGATGCAGTACATGACTCTCTTCAGCCATTCTTGTGCTTAATTCAGTTGAGGTTCCAGAAGGGCTGAGAGGTTATGGAAGATATTGCTTGCAAAGTAGAAAGAACTGGCACATAGTTGATTGGCTTAATGAGGTGCCCAGCTCCATTTTATCAGCTGTGTGATAGTTCACAGCTTCTCAGCCTGCCATGAAATGGCAGTAGTGAGACTGGGATAAAAACGCGGCATTCCAGATAATCACTCCATGATAACAATTAGAAAATCCTAACTAATTAATGGCACCTAACAACCTGTCTTATGAACTGATATTTAAAAGCTAACTGTCTTTCCTGGTTGTTTTTGGTTTGTATAACAAGCACAGGTTAGTGGCTCTATTTCCTTTTGACTTTAATCCTTATTTTCTGTTTTTTTATATAATAGCATAAATGTAGTGTTTTAATGGGAAGTGTTTGTTTAGGGAAAGTAAAAAAAAAAAAAAAAGTTTTCAAAGATTCTGTAGAAAGTGTGGCTTAAAAAGAAACTGGAATTCTAAGTGAAACTACCTGACAGGAGGAGATCCCTCATAATACAACAGGCAGTCACTGTGGAAATCCTTGTCTCATGATGGTGTAAATGCTAAAATTTTATACAGGTTTGAAAATGATAGGGGTAGATCACAGGGAAAAAATCCATCAAGGGCCACTGTATACAACAGCAGGTGTCTCTGCTGGAAGAATATTCTGGATGATGTTGGTACATACTTATCTCTATGTCTGTGTTTTTCACTGTCTGCTGGACATTGTCAGAGATCAGAATACTTGGCTTGATGGATCTGTTATATGATATGGTTCTATTAAATACTGCAAAAAGAAAAGTCTGGGGAAATAACCTTATTTTACTAAAATATTTAATGACTTCTTTATTCTTGTCCTCAACACTGGAATGACAGCAAGATAGACTCTATCTGCGAAGCTGTGCCTGTCCACAGGGTTCTTGGAAATTCTAAATTATGATTGTATTAGCAGTGTGACTTTTGGAGTTGATGAATTGTATTCGTTCCCTAAGAAAGAAGGTGTTGCTAGTATGGATAGATTTATTGCTTTATTTCAATAGCAGCCATAAGCAAAAGAGCTATTAGGGCTCTATTGTTAGACAATGGATCACGTTTTTTGTAGAAATTAAGCAGGAATAGTCAGCATGGCCATCTAACAATAGGGCTACTTGTTCACATCCAAGGAACTGCTGGCTTGACTCTGTCCTGTTCCCTTCCAGGCACAACATCATGGTGAATTTCTACGGAGGCAATCATTGTAACCCCTGGGAGAGAAAGAAGAAATAATGGTTAATCCACTACTGCACAGAGTCTGAAATGCAGGTGTACAGCAGTGCTGATAAAAGACCAAAACAGCATCCTGTCAGGTAGGTGCACTTCTTTCTTGATTAGAGGAAATATTCCAAAGGAAAAATGGTCCTTGTCCATTTACTTAAGACAGAAGATACCTCCATGACCTTCAGCTATCGATCCTGCTCATGTTAGTGGGCCCAGGAAGAATGGATACTAGAGACAAGTTTATGGGGAGCCAGTGAATAGCTGTAAAGTATTCAGGAAGAGGGCTGTAGAAGAGAGGGAGAAGGACTTGCTACTGGGAAAGGCTGAAAAAGCCAAATTACACAACTAAGTGTGACACAAAAAGGAACCCCTTTCTTCTCGTTTTAGCAATTCCCAAGTGTTTAGAAGTTGCTCATTCATTTAAGGATAAAAATCAGATCTGAGGTGGTATCTTTTACGAGGCTTGTTAGAACTTGATAAAAAGAAAGTTGGCCTCTAGCACAGCATGTTGCCATGAAAGAAACAAGTCTGAAAAGAAGATAAGAATTCCAGCTCCTTGGATAGGAGAGTCTCAAAGGTTTTACAGACACCAGGTCTCAGTTGAGAAGGACCATGGAGAGACCGTAAGAGAGATTCTGCGTTAGCTGTGAAGCAGGTACTCTGAGAGGATGAAAGTCTGAAGGGCATGTGATGTCTGCAAGAGCTGACTAGAGGATATAATGGCAGCATAGCTGATGATAGATACCTGCTAAGATTTAGAAACAAACAAAAGCCCACAGAGACCATCAGATAAAATAATAATAATCTATGTAACAGCTGCCATGGTTTGATTTTGATTCCTGTTTTTTTAGCCACAGTTAGATTTTAAACTGAGCTGGCTCTTACTAGTTCTTGTCATGTTTAGCATGGTGGTTAGAAGTTTGCATCCTCTAGATTGTAGCTGGATTTTGGATTAATGAAATGATTCTGTTTCCAAGCCAGCTTAATGCTCTAACTCCATAAATACTAGCATTTATCTTGGTGCTGCTTCTTGTGCTCCCACTAGTCTGTTTGCATATGTGTAACCACTGAACACTCACTAAAATATGCTACTTGAAAAAGTGATTCAGCCAAATAATTGTGCCATGAGGCACATATCTGAAAATTCACACAGAAAAGTGAAAAATTCTAGTAAGTTATCTCATGTGTATCATACAATCAGTTCTTTTCAGAAGACTTAATACACAGTAAAATGCTACCTTGCTTTGCAGAAACTCGGTGCACGTTTGTAAAAGTATCTGTGTAATGATTTTGAGAGGTCCTTTAACACATTTGTTGGAAGAATTTACAAGATTTTGGAGGTAGAGTAGTGGCATTTCCATACATGCAAATGAAAACAACTTTGAAGATTTGAGAATTTTCAAAAACTGTTATTCAATCCACTCATAAGTATATTTAATTTGCATGAGCAGGATATGATTCATATGAGAAGCTTAGTTGTAACAATGCTGGTAGTTTTTACTAATATGGCTTATTTAGAGTGATCATTTGAACCTGAAGATAAGACAAACTTCTGGAGAAGGTTAAGAAACATAGTTTCTACTAGGTAGTTCTTTAGTAATTCTGTTCATTCATGGTACCTAACATATAGCATAATGCTCAAGCTTGTCCTAAGACTCCATGCAGTTTAGAAAACTAAGTTAGTCTCTAAACATTACTGTAGTTTTATAGTTCTGCTTCTGTAGGAACATTAACTTGCCAATCCATTCTGTACATTCTTCTGTTCCCACAGGTGTAATTCACTTATGAGTACATATAAAATCAATTCTGTATGTGTGAGTTGCTTGTAAGGTGCTTTTTATTCAATAGGTATCAAAGGTTTTTATGAAGGAGGTTAAGTATGATCATTATCTCTATAGGTAGGGAACTGGAAACTAAGCAGGGCTTTGTAGATCTGCTGAAGCCCTAAAACTAGTTCTTGACACTGGTGGTTTTCTGAGAAGCTTTAGACAGTATGTGACAAACTGTATTTGTTGAACATTTGTCCTGTTCTTTCCAAAACTTTGTTAAAAGTGAGCAATTACCCCCAGCAAACTACTATTTTGAAAGAACAGATGTGTAAAGTTTTAGCTGGGTTGATGTTACTTGGAGGTTCAGTGGGAGGTTTCATAACTGAAGTTAGGGGCAGAAGGCAAACTCCAGTTTTTAAAGTGAAGGTATTTGCATCAATCCATAGCAGTGGAGAGGTAACTGGCACTAATTAAAACAATATAAACATTTTTAGGATTCTAGACTTATTGCAAATCTTATGCCAAATGAAAACACTAGACTGCATTTTGCTTGTTTGCTGAACATATGCTGTCCAATAATATATAGTCTGGAAGTATACAGATCTATGTATATAGATGCAAAGATGTGTATAAGTATACCAATGTGTTTCTGTGTACATACTTTTATATTTTATGATCCATCCTTTCCTTTCTGTAGTAAATCTTAATCCACGTTTTCTCTTATCTTCCTGGTCTTTGCTTTTAAAGCAACCCTCATGGCCTTGGGTTTTGCTCTTTCAGCACTACTCGTAGTGCTGATTGCAGTTAAGTTGTGTTTATATGAAAAGCTTAATTGACACTAGCAAAAAAAAAAAAAAAATCCTAATTACTTTTAAATAATAAGTGAAAGGAGGTTTTATTTCTGACTGAATTATATTATATTCTGACTATATTATGACTGAAGCTGTAGAACCTACAGCCTCCGTGGTGATAAGATTATAAATCTGCACATTTTGTCTGCCCTTCAGAATGATTGCAGTTCATTCTGGTGATGTTGCATCTGGGAGTTAAGAGTTAGTTCATTCCTATTTGTGAGTAGTCAGTACCTTTCACCCAGGCATGTATAGATTATGGGCTGGACTGCTAAAATAGGTCTCAAGACAGCATCCAGAAGCTAGGGCGAATGACTGCCCTAAGTCACCTTTTCTTATCTTTCTTGAACTTGATCCAGATCTATTTGAATCATTACTTAAGATGAGATCAACAGGTAAAATAGTCTTCACAGAAAGCTTTCTGCCAGTTGGTGATTTCTGGAATATAAACCCCTGATTCACAGCCCTGAAAGAATGTAAGAGGTTGGTTTTGAGGTAATAAAATCTTCAAACTCTTGTCTGTCGTGAGAAAATTTCCTTTTCCCGATGTGGCAGTTCTCTAGCTATTCTGTGTTGCTCCATCCAGATGAGTAGCATCATGGAATATTGTATATTAGAGTGTTATGCTCTAACTTAAGAAAGTTATCTTCTAGATGAAATTCAAAACAAAGGGATATTCTAAAACATAGTTATGAAATTGTGTACCAGGTTTGTGTGCACAGATCTTTGTAACAAACAGCAAATGGGGAAATTAGTCATAAAAATCCCACTTACCAGTAACAGAGTTTGTGCCTGTAAACTGTGAACACTATGAATATGGCCAATATAATAAAAAGAGCAGTCAGATTTGATGGAAACATTGGTAATCAGATTTTCTAGTAAACTTTTGCAAGGAGTGTTTGTGCTCCTGTTCAGTATATAATCAGGAGGTTGTGGTATTGTACAGTCCCATTTCCAGCAAAGTTACATTCAACTGCATCTGGTTTCTCCGTGTCTTCATTCAAAAAATATGACAGTCAGAACAAGAGCGTAGCAGTGACACAAAGCATGGGGACATTTCAAAAGTCTGGCAGGTCATCTTCAGTAATTGATCATAATTATAGCCTTTTTTTTCTGAAATTTGTTAAGCTGGTTGATTTTTGCCATCATTTTCATGAGTTTCATGGGGTAAGAATGTGTGGTAGGAAGACTGGGTATGGGTAAATAGAAAACAGATTGTGGATCAGCATTCTCTGTGGAAACATTTTACTAAATTTTACTTATTTTAGTATCAAGGATTTGGTAATGTGGTTCTGAGCATAAACCATCTGGGCAGAAGTTAATAAAGTAGATTTTTAAATGTCAAGTATTTATAGAAATTACAGATTAGATTACATGTAATTGACTACGTCCTTTAGATTGACAAGTTAGGATGATCTTATTTTCAATAACCTTTTATGTTTAAGGCATTTCTTTAATGGTTTGAGTTGCAGTTTAAAAATAGAAAGTCTATGCATGTGCTTCTGCTTGCTAGGGTACTGCAAACTTGATTTCTGAGGTTGCTGACAGCTTCTGAAAGATTTAGGAACTGTCAGCAGGAAACATTCCCATAGAATCTGTACTGTGAACTCTTTCTGGAAAAACAGCATCATTTAACAGGTAATATATCTGCAATAAAAGTACAGTTATGCAATAATGTCTCATTAATATGGCAAATCATAACATGGTCTTTTCTATTCAATTTAAAAAGAAACTTGTGGAAAGAAAAAGGTTCCTACTCAACTAGTTGGTTAACTTGGTTTATTTCTGTATATTGTTTTTTAAACTTTGAAATAGCTATTTGATTTGTATGGGAGATAACAGTTATGATGTTTTATTTTTGAACAAACAGATTTCCACTTGGACTTAGATTAATACAATAGAATCCCCCCCCCCCCCCTTTTTTTTTTTAATATGCTAGGATACTGCTGGAATACTTTGTTTGGTATGTAACTGCTAATTTATCCTTTATGTCTTTACGATCTTGTCAGTGCCTCATGTCTTCCTTAGTTTTTCTAATCTAAAATAATCCCAGTGAAATCCTTTGATTGTCTGTTTGGACCTGATCCACTTCTAAAGCATGAATGTAATGGGCTTTATGGCACTTACTTGGAAGTAATTTATCCAAGAGTGAATATAGATACTTGTTTTAATAAGAATATGCTTTATGGTAAGTGGGGACAGCTATTTAATTAGCCAAAGGGAAAGCAGTTCATGATACAATCTGTTCCAATCATCTTGGACATTAAACAAGAAGTCAGACCAAGTTATTTATGTACATTCACTTTATTTGCAGTTGCTTTGTGTAACTCTTGGTAGAACTTTACAGCAATATCTGGATAAAAAAGGATGTGTATTTCATAAAAATAAGTAAACAGGAGTTTCACTCATTGCTGACAGGACTTCAAGTGCATATATATTAAAGCAGTTGATGGTGGCAGAAGTGTTCAG